GAAGAGATTCTCAAAAACAAAAGATCATGGACTCACATTTTTCAAGGTGCTCGATTTTCTTTGAAGATGGTTGGAACCCCTTTTTTTTGTTTTGCTTGTTTTCTGTTATTTTTCTTTTCTTTTTTTCTTTTCAAGGGTCCCAACCTGCTCTTACCGGCCATGCCAGGAGCGGATGTCTCGAGCCTCGTGCGGGGGAAAGACATGTAAGGGGGCTGGAGGTAGTAGGTGGAAATTGGGAACGGATTCCCGTCTCCCCTTACACACTTTCGCCCTATTCGCACGGGAGACGTTTATTTTGAAGCACATTTTCGAGCACCTGTTATTTTCAAAACATGATACAAGAGTCCATGACAGGTAGAGAATCCACAACACCACACAATTCATGGGTCCTAAGATCACTAATTCACTCAATCAACCAACTCAATATGAAGAAGACATGAGACTTCTTAAATGCATCAACATCCTCCATAGTGCTACACTACCTCCCTAGGTTGCATATTACTATAAAGACTGTCAATTCAAAGCATACTGAGCAGGCAATTGCAAGGAAACACGTACTTGGAGCCCTCAAATCGAAATTTGGACAGTGGACTAGGCTCCAAGCACACAAACAGCCAAACATTCACCCGCATACATAATCGAACACCCCCCCACACTTAAGCACGACATTGTCCTCAATGGAGGAAAGATAAGGAGGGTTGAACGAAGTTACCAGATCAAGGGTGAATGATGATGTACGGGTCAGGCAGTGCATTCCAGGAAGAGAGAGTAATCAGAACACAAACACCACACAAAATCTCACAAAGGTTGAGTTATTGACTCTAAAATCAAATAACAAAACTGACTCAACCGAGGAGAAAAAGAGAAAGAAATGCAAACCGACTGGTTGGGTTGCCTCCCAACAAGCGCTTCTTTCACGTCGTGAGCCGGACGATGGCTCCTAAGTTTCGGTCCATGCTAGAACCTCCTTGAAGTTGAGGTTCTCGTCGATGAGGTGGAGTCTCAAGTCACGAGCATGTGGTGTGGCAGGTGAGGAAGGCTCATGTACTTGATGCAGATGAAGTCTCCACCCTCGAGACCTCTTCTTCTCTTCTCTCGTCTCATTGCCCCAAACCAGATAAGAAAGCATCGATTGGCCACCATCGCGTCCACCAAGAGGGACCGATGTCGATGTGGCCTTGGTCTGGCAAAGAGACACTGCAAATGGGTCCTTGCTAAGCAGTTCCTCGAAGTTTGGTGGAGATATCACATGTAACTCATGGCCGGTGCAAGCCTCTTCCACCTCAACTTCGTCCTCAGCCTGGACGCCAATTGCTTCTTCAACCTCCCTTCCTTCTTCATGTGGTATCACCCCTGGGAAATGATCAAGAACTCCTCCAGCTTCACTTTCGTCATCCTCCACAACTTCTTTCTGCACCCTTTCTTGCTCTTCTTCTTCTAGCACGGATTGGAGAGCAAGTTGCCAAGCAATTTCTTTCATGAGATCTTCTTGCATCTCCTCACTCATGCCCGCCTCTTCAAAGCTCAGTTTGGGGTGTGGGAAGGTGTGGTCGGCTACGATATGACACGCCTGATCATGACCATCACGGGAGCTCTCCGTGACAACTTCAGTGTGTTCCACAATGCCCTTGTAGCCTTCTTCTTCCTCCTCCTCTTCTTGTATGGTAGCAGAAGGGTGATCTGGAGCAGGTTGCGCCCAAGATCGCTCAAGATCATCAACGCTCTTCTTAAGGCTCAGGAGGATCTCATCTGTTTCACGATAGGCCTGGACACACTGATCCATCCTGGAGCATGTTCTCTCACAGTCTCGAGCATACTGCTCCATGAGTAACTCCAGCGCCGATGGCCCTTCTGGTTGTGGGAGAAATTCTTCTTGATAATGAGGTTGTTCTTGATATGCCCAGGGGTCCGGTTGTTCTCCGTAGTAAGGGGGTTGGTACTGGAACCCGAATCCATAGTCTTCTCTGCCTTGATTGCTCCAGGGAGTCTCGGGGTAATACCACCCAGATGGCGGTGGATACCCCCAATGATTGAAGAAGCCATTAGGATCCATGATTCAGATCTGCACCAACAAAAACAAAAACACCCAAGTGAAAAGCAAGGGTGGGAAAGAAAAGAAAAGAAAAACGCTAAAGTAACAAACTTCTGCCTTTCCTAATACTCTAGAAAGTCCCCGGCAACGGCGCCAAAAACTTGACGCGCTACGACACAACACCTAACAAAGGCCAAGTGTAACCAATGAAAGGGACTGCAGTATAGTGGCTCAAGTGATAAATATCGAATCCACGGGTCTCTAGAGTTACTATTACTCAGCTTCAGTTTATTATTTAGCAAATCAGATTAAGATGAAAGAACTAAAACTACTCTAGCAAACTACAGTTAAAGTTAATCTAATTACAGGTTGAGAACTCACTTAGGTATGATTCCCCCTAGCCACTAGCCAGATTAATGATTGATGATCTCTAACCTGTTTCACTTTCATTCACAATGCGGAGAATCCTTGACTAGACCTTGAGTCTCGACTAAAGGAACAAGGTCCTCTTGAGTCAATTGCCTAGAGGGACGTATCCTTCTCTAGAACAACTGATCAAGGCGTTCTGAACTAGACTCCCTCTATCGAAAGGGGTTCTCAATCGATACAAAGCAGTGAATCAACCCTCGACTAAAGCAATCGATCCACTACTATCAATCTATGGTGCTCTATTGACCTAATCAGGTATTCCCTCTCATAGAATCAAAGCAGAATCAATAATCTCGACTAAAGCAGAATTGAATCATGAAAACATGCATAGATTGAATATGAACTCAAGATTATCCAGTCAGAGTACTCATACAATCATCCAATCAAACAAACATAGCTAGGGTTCCTCAAAACCTAAGTGAAGGGAAGTTACTCCATAGAGAAGAGAGAGACTGCAGTAAGAATCTTCAGATGATCAGTCTTCAAGTCCGGGCTTGTTCCTCAAGCTTCCAAGGCGAAGAAATCCTCCTTCTCTACTCCAAGAATGCCCTCAAATCGCCCTCTCTCTCTAGGGTTCGTCCCTTGGGTGTTTGGGATCCAAAACCCAGCTCTCTCTCTCCTTTGGTTCGGAATTTGGCTTAAAACCAGATTTCCCGACTCGCACGGCCAGGGTGCACGGCCGTGCATATCACCACTCTGGCCGTGCAACTCAAAACGCAGCGTGTCATTTAGTCGAACTTCAGCCCTCTCGCACGGCCAGGGTGCACGGCCGTGCGAGCTTCAGGGGTTGCCCGTGCGTGTCCTCGGCATAAGGCGCACGGCCATATTGCTCACGTGCACGGCCGTGCAGCCTCCCTGGTCTGCCCGTGCAGCTTGCTCAGCCTCTGTTTAATGCTTCGTTTCTCCCTCGTCCGGACTCCGAATCAGTCGCCGTTTGATCCCAGACGCTCGTAGTCTTGTCCTCTTTCGTTTCATAACAAGCTTGCATGCTTCTTTGTCCATAAAGTGAGGTAGAAATCCATTCTTCTTCAGGTCATGCCCGAGTTTCCTCTCTCGAATCGTCAATTGATCTCTGATTGACTTGAAACTTGCGCCTATGCTTCACTTTATGTGCTAGGACCTGAAATGGGACAAAGGAACACAACCTAGCATAAAATAGGCCACAACACACGAATATGCCCCTCAAACGGATAAGAACTAGGGGCGCAAACATGTGCAATTACATCGTTATCACCTCCAATTCGTCAAATTAAAGATTACCAATTACAAGAACTTGAGATGTTAGCTCTAGGCAACTCAAGACTCTTTGCCCTAAATTACAATAAAATCTAATTTATATATTTAATTATTAATTGAAAATATAATTTATGTTGTATTGAATAATACCGATTGGGATACCGAAGTACTGATTGGGATACCCAAATATTTAGGGAATGAGATTGATTTTATGGTGTAATTCGGTATTTGGTCTTGAGATACCGATACCTTACAAATTTCCACCCCTACTTGTTAGTGCATGTGACCTTATTAAGGACTAGTACTTAAAAATGTATAGCTATATTACATTTTAAGTATATTGCAAAAACTTTAATTATAAGTAATTTGATTAAACATCATATAGAGCAAAACACTACATATCAGTTTAGAATAGGGATGTCAACAAAACCTGAATCCACGGGTACCCTACCCGGTTAACATGGATAAAATCCATGTTGATGGGTTTTGGGTTTAATCTCGTTCACTATTCATCGGGTTGAGTTGGGTTTGAGTTTAGGTATACTCATCCTATGGATACCCGCCCACACCCATATAATTAATTTTCCCGATATATTTAATATTCTAAGTAACTAATCTTCTTTATGTTTGTGGAGACAAGTGTAATTTTTTCTTTGGGCAATGCCTATTTTTTATCCAAACCTTTTCAGATGATTTTATATTATCCAAACCTATCGAAATACTAAGAATTAGCCAAATGTTAACTTTCAGTTAGCGATTTTGTTAGTAATATTGACTTAACAATATGATACCGACTTGGAAGAGACACATGAAGGTCAACATTCCAAAATTTTCTTATTTTAACTAAGAAAAGAGTAACAAAATTATTAACAATAATGTAAAAATGGCTAAAATTTTGATGCATTACGAAAGATTTGGATAATTAATAGCATTTTAATAGGTTTGGATAATATAAAAGAATCTGAGAAAGATTCGGATAAAAAATAGACATTACCCTTTTTCTTTCTAATTGTGTAGAATGAAGTTGATATTATTGAGTGGAGAGTGTAGAATCTTAATTGACAAGGAGGAAGAAGCTTTCAATTAATCATGATGTTATGAATAATTTATGTTTTGCTTCAATTTTATTGAGTTTTCTATATTGGTATTGAACAATTTGTATGGTTAATTTGTGATTTGCTTGAATTTTCTAGAATGGTGTTTTATATATTGACAATTTGTATTGAGAGATTGATATTTGACTTTTATTTTGATAAGAACTTGTCATTATAAAAATTTTATGACAAAAACCCATGGATACTCAGCGTGTTGGATTGGGTTTGAGTTTTCCAAACCTAGCAGGTTTTACCCCGATTTTTTTCACAAGTAAACTCATGGGTTTGACTTTGATAAAACCCGACCAATTGCAATCGCTAGTTTAGAACATGACAAGAACAAAAAAGTCCATGTTTTCCTTCTCCAAAACAAATCGAGTAGAGTGTAAATGTTCGAAATTATCCTCCTCATTATTTGATGTCGATTATGTGAATGTAGTAAATAATGGCAAATGACCAATTCATAAAATAGCCTCACGTACACCTAAAAGTGACCCATTAGTAGGTTGACCAGATAACAATAAAGTAAGTATAGAAAGAAAGGGAACGGGGCGAGAGAAAAGTCCAAAAGCAGGAATTCAGAAAGTGAGAGTAGAAGAAGAAGCAAAAGGGTGGTTTCAGTCTTTCAGAAGAGAGAGAGAGAGAGAGGCAGAGGGTGGGTTCAGAGAGGAGAATTTTACAGCTTCGGCAGTCCGTCTTTTCCTTTTCTCGTGATCTCCCATCCCATTTCTTCTTTCCTCTTCTTTTCCATTAACTTTCCTAGCGAGCTAGCGAGCTACTCTGCCACTGTCTATCGAAAGCAAGAAAGAAGTCTACCCTTCTTTTCTTTACACTATAATAACAATAACAGCCCAGCCGGCCAGTTTCTCCTTCACCTCCAGCAAAGTGAAGAAGAAGGAAAAGTAATATTATTGATGGGTAGTTCGTCGTGTGGAACAGCAGGAAGGAATGGAGGAGTTAGGCAGTACATAAGATCGAAGGTGCCTCGCCTCCGGTGGACTCCCGACCTTCATCACTGCTTCCTTCACGCCATCGACCGCCTCGGCGGCCACCATAGTGATTACCCACCTTCCTTCTTTTCTTTTTGACGTTTCTAATGATATGCTCTAACGCTCTCGATCGATCGATTTCCCCTTTTCAGAGGCGACGCCGAAACTGGTGCTTCAGTTGATGGATGTGAAGGGACTCACCATTTCCCATGTCAAGAGCCATCTCCAGGTTAACTTTTTTTTTTTTTAATAAATTCCCCAAAAATTACACACTCACTTTCCTTTATCTCATTTCTCTTTGTTTCTTTCTAAAGTTTGGATCTTTATATATATATATGGGTTTCTGTTCATCAGATGTATAGAAGCATTAGGACTGATCAGCTGCCTTCCACCACCAACTCAACCCAAGGTTCATCTCCATCCATAACTTTTTTTTTTCTTGCTTTGATTCATCGTTTTTTATGCCAACCCATTAGTACTCATCGCTCGTGGTGGTGTTGAAGCAGAAGGAATGGATCCCATCAATGGCGAAGAAGAAACAGAAGAAGTAAAGGAAGGAAGACAATCCAAAACTGATCAATACTACCAGTTTCTTCTCCCCAGCCCCAAAAGGTCAGCTATATAAAATACTAATCTCTCTCACACCCAATGTAGTCAAAATCGCGTTTCCAAAATTTTAAAACTTGCAGTTTTACGTTTCTAGAACATTAAAACGCTTCTGCACAAAATCTTAGTTTTTATAATTTATATAGTTAAAAACTCCGCTTAAAAACTTATAATTTTACCCTTCTAGATCACTAGAACGTTTCTAAACAAAAACTGACTTTTGATTGCTACCACCAAGACATTTGGGGTGAAAAAGGGTGCAATAGCAATAGTCCAACAACAGAAACAGACAAAATACAATCTCTGCCCAACAATTTAAAAGCAAAAAAAAAAATTTAACAAGAGGATAAGCGATGCAACAGTTTTGCAGAAGTAGGCAACTGTGCCATTACTATACATTTCTCCCCCCACCTTCATTCCTTTTGCATCCCCCTCTTTTTTATTGATTTTTCACCTCCTGCATTTCCTTGGCAGCATTTCCATCTTCTGCTTCCATTCCATTCCCAGTGGTCAAACAGTGATTTCATTTTCACCATTAATGATTGCATTCTTTTCTTTTTTTGCAAATGCAGCAGGGTGAAAGTGGAGAGTTTGAACAGTGGTGGTGGGAAAGGGGGAGACCATGGAAGCATTGTTATGATGGATGGGGAAAGGATTAGGAAGAAGAGGAAGAGGTGGTCATCATGTAATCATCAGATTACTGAGTTCAACAACAAGAAGAAGGGAATCTTTTGTGGTACTGTTCCGTACGAATCGCTTGATCTCCTTAACCCCCACCACCACCATCATCATAATATCCACAATGGAATAATGAACTCAAATCAGCAACAGTACCACATTGGTGGTGGAGGAGGAAGGTTCAGGTGTGGCCAGATGCAGCTCTCTCACCATGCTCCTGCTAATGGAGTTAGTACAAAGACGACTAATGGATTTTCTAGATTTACCCACCAACGGGAAGAATCTCGTTTTCTCGAGGTATATCTATTAAACTCTATTGCTCACATTCTTTTAGGTATATGTATATGTGTGTCCATATATAATATGTGGTTATATTCTGATAAATGCTAAGAGGACTACGGTGTGAGGAAGTACGTAGTATATTGTAGATAGATATTTTCTGAAGCGCGATCAAAGTTGGAAGTACATTGAGTTTAGAGAGGAAGAGTCTTCTTAGTTTAAATTTTAATGTCGTTCGTTACGAATAATATAATTCAATATGTGATTACTTCGTAGGTATTATATAGTTATCTCATTTTGACCTAATAAATAAAAGTTATTAGTAGTATAATACATACCCTTCAACTTTTACTTCATAGTATATTGAATCCCTCGAGTCAAATAAGGTGTAAGTAGGAAAATAGGAAAATGGGGATCCCATCTTGTCGCTTATTGCGGTTCTTTTTTACTTTTTACTTTTTAGGCTTACGGGGATCTATGTAGGAAGCTGTATCTGTGTTGGTTGAGTGTAGTTTTGGGGTTGTTTTATAACTTTTAAGCCTTTGAAGCAAGGTTGTCAAACCGGTTTATGCCAGTGTGCCGGTTTAGCAAGTGGAATGGTTCGACCGGTGGCACATACTTGTTTGTGTCGGTTCATGCCGGTCAATATTACAAATAAAATTATAAATACTCATTTTAAACATGACATTAAACGTCAAGACCTAAACATTTATAATTGAATCCAACAAATAACATCAATATTTAACATTTATACTCATAAAATAAATAATAAAATAATTTTTAACAATTAAAGTCACTAAAATAAGGTTATTTTACTTAGAGATCCGCATATCGATCATGCCGTTCATACCTGTGATGTCATGCCGGTTTTATGACCAGTACAGGTTGAACCAGATACAACCGGTGGCACGCCGGCTGGCGTGACAACCCTCTTTGAAGAGAACCCTTTATTTCTTTCTTTGCTTTTCCCTCTTTCCATATATATTATTTGACAGTCTACTGCTACTACTACTCGTACTGGTATTAGCCTGGGGACTACTCTTGCTACTTCTATTATTCCATCCCTGCTCTTCCCACATCACGCCATGGAATAATATCTTTCTTTTCAGTTTTCATCAAGTCAACTTTTTTTATTTTTTCTTCTTCTTTTTTGTATGGAGCAAATAATGTCAGCATAAAAGCATTTCACCCACCTTCACTTTTTACCTTGAGGAGTCAAAATTTTTATTATGAAAGGACTGGTGATCGGTTTTTTGCTGAGATGGTAGATTTGGTTTCTGACCACCGTTACTTCCCTGGTGTCTCGTCACATCTCATATATTTACTTCTAATATCAAAGTGGGACGGCAAATGTTCACTTCTCTTTTTGTGAAAGGGATTTACCTTCTTTTTTATTAATACTGTTTTGTTGTTTCCCAGAGAGTGTAGAGAGGAATGTAGTGAGAATGTGAAGCATATATTAGTACTCTACAGTCTACTCTAGCATATTTGTTGACTTTTGTCTCTTTCTTCTTTTCGAATTGTATTATTAGGATTTAGGGCAGTAGTATGATGACACTTTCTTGTTTCTTCTTTTACCCAAAACCAAAACGTAGGGATACAGAAAGTTGGAAGTGAAAGTAAAAAAGTATTAATACAAATCTTCCATAAATTATTAAACTTTTAAGTACTTTATCACCATTACGGCATTACCCATTTTCATTTTTAACTTAATACAAATCTCTATCGTATTTATCGTACAGGTTATGAAAGTGGAGACCGCCGCCGATCTAGTTAACGGAGTAGCTAGCTGGAAAAGCAAGGAACTGTCGGAGGTGGCCGCCGGAGGAGCTGGCAGCGGTGATGAGAGAACGTGGGTAGTTGGCCATAGTGACGGCAACGGTGGCAGTGGTCGGAGTAGTTGCGAGTTGTCGCTGTCGCTGTCATTGCCCGGCGGAGGCAGCGAGGTTGACGGCGGTCTTTCTTCGAGTCTCACTACTTTCTCTTCGCATTACTACTGCTACGATAGTAATGGCGGTAGGTTTAAGGACGTATCTTCGCCGTCGTCTTGCTCGAATCCTACGCTCAACCTGGACCTTTCCATTGCTCTATGTGGCACTTAATTAGATGTATGGTGTTGTTTTTTTTTGCCATTAGATGACTTTTAGTTGTATTTTCTGTTTCACTGTGATAGTTTGTAGTGCGTTACTAGCAACCACGTACGTACATATATGAAGTATGATTATTATCCTAGTTGTTTTGGGCTTTTTTGTGTGTGAAGGAGAAGGAATTATCTCTCCGGGCCTGGCCTGCTAGGTCTGAGCCCGTTAGTTCTCTCTAAGTGATAAAATTCTGCTGGTATTTAATAAAATGGGCCTTTCAAGTGGGCCATGAAACAGATAACATCATCCTTTAATTGAGGTTTGAATTCCCATTACTTTCGGTTATTGATGTAATTTGAGTATCTCGAAGTTTATCTAGACATCTAGAGTTGTAACGTACTCGGTTTCAGATTGGAAGAATATTGTCGACGATGCTTCGATTGATGGCAAGTACTGTTAGAAACCGAACAGAAAAATAGGGTTATCGATCTAGCTGAGTCGCGGATTAGGTCGCTCTCTTTAAGGCGTTCGACAAACACATATCTTACTCGGCGAAACTCCCAACCGGCCCGTCCGATACTGTGCTCCGATTTACTAATCCACCGTCTCTCAATATAATCATAAAATAAAATTGATGTCAAGCTAACCAAAAAAATACAGCATCTCGTCTGATACTATGTTCGGGTTCGCCCATTGGGCTCTTACTTCTACTTTTGGATGGATCTACACAGACCATCCACCATACGCCCTGGTCCTTTTCTGGTTTAGTGGGACTGGGCCATTGGACATCTGCTGGGCCTTGCAACTCAAAGCAATTTAGCCCAATGCTTCTAGGTAAGTGTATTCATAATTGGGCCTACCATTTCTACCAATAAGGAATTTTGGGTGGAAGACCTACTGGTTTGGCCTTGTATTTATTTCTGTTTGCCTTTCATAGCTGTTTACCACTAAAAGTTATCTTGGTATCTTCTATCATTGATGAGCTACAAGGTAATTAAGAGTTTTATAAGACCACAATATTTAAATAAATAAATAAATGTTATTAAGTTTATCGTTATGGATATTGATTTTAAGTCAAAGTCACCAAATAATAGTGAGCATGAATATGATTCAATGAGTAATATGAGCCTCTCATAGGAGGCCATGACATGCCATGCCACGAGATTGTATAAAAATTAATTAAGTCTTGAGAGGCACGTGCCGCTTCACGAAGAGGGTCATGTCCGTCTAAGATCTAAAAGTACATGTCATCTCAACGAGAAGGGCCATGGACGCAAGACAAGAGGCCCTGACATGATTGAAAAATGATAAGTATGAGAAGACCATGTTGTGTCACGGGACGGGAATGACCACATAAATGATTGAGAAGTCTATGGCCATGAATAAAGAGGCCATGTCGCCTCATGACCAAGACCAAATGACACAAAATATACTAAGTCTAGGAAGGACATGCCACCTCACGAGAGGGGCCATGTGCATGATCAAGAGGTCCATGCCGCCTCACGAGAGGGGGCCATGGACATGAATGAGAAGGACGAGGTGGTGGAGCATTATTTCACTAGTGACTAAGTCCCTAGAGGGCCATGGACATGAGTAAGAAGTCCATGACCATGAGGCAAGAGGACTATGACCCCTTTGCGAGACAGCACATGCTCATCAAAAGACTAGCGTGGCACGTGATCTAGAACAAGAGCATACGAGGCAAGACACACTCCAAGACTAACGACAGTTCCAAGAGAAGCATCTAGGCAGTTGAGGGAGTAACCACCATGTCCGAGGAAGCAGGGAGCGGTTCTTTTTGGGAGTTATCAAGAGGCAGTTTTCTACGGTTGTTATCTCCGAATGACTATAAATAGGAGTAAAGGTCGACAGAGAGAGGGGTTCCCAAAACCACACAACTGATGCCTACATCAAGTTTTTATCCTTTATTTGCTAATGTAGTCATAGTCGTAGTTTGGAGCTTTTACTGAACCTCCTTAGGAGTAGGAGTAAACCATGAATCAAACACCCTCTTTCGAACTTTGTTTGAAGAGGCGTGAGCCGTGTCTTAGTAATCGTTGTCCAAATAAGTCAAATGTGTCATCAATCTCAATTCAACGGAAGTTTTCTCGCCGGAAAACAATGGGAGACTACTGACCACCAAGTACATTTAGGGGTGGTTTGGATGCAGGATTTTAATTAGAGGGATTTGTGAAAGATTTGGTTCCAATTCACTCAACTAAAAAATCAGATATTTGTGATTAAGAATTTGTATCAAATCTCTTATTTGTTTAGAGATGTGGGATTTCAATGAAAAAGTCAAATTTATATTTTGCCCTTTTTGTTCATCTTGTTCTCGGTCGCAAGTAGAACTCCCTGTTTGTTCTTCGACTCCTTTCTGTAGAGCATCCCTATTTGTTCTTCCTCCCTATCATTCTTCAACTCCTTTCTCGAGAGACCATCGATATCCCCGCTTGTAACCGACAGATGGATCTGTGATCGGAATGGGCAAGAAACAAACCCAGAATTTTGCCCCTTTGCCTCCTCTGTCGTCGATCCCACCCAGACCTACCTCCTGCTGTCCTTCGACCTCTTCTTCTTTCTCCAAAGAACCACAAAATCAAATCCTATTCCTATGTGTCGTGACCCCATCCAATCCACCAAAGCCAAAAGTGAATCCTCCGCAGTCAACTGAACTTTGATTTCTTATGGCCATCAATATGGACTTTATATATTCAATTAAGATCCAAAATCCTAGATCTAGAATGAAAACATAGATGTTTGGATTCAGGAACAGACGACCACAGCGAGAGAGTGCTTAGGCGCAGCGGGATGGCGACGACAACGAGAACACGCGATGTCGGAGGGTGGGCAAAGTTGCTCCCGGCGAGTTGGCCCGCCAATGAAAATGGGTGAAGAAGGCGAAGAGAGTGAGTGAAGATGCGATGTCGGAGGAAGAACACAACAGCTCCTAGTGAGAGGTTGGGCCGCCAGCGAGGTTGTGCCATCGGCGAGCGAGGGTAAAGGTGCTCCGGGCGAGGTTGGGTAGCCGACCAGGATGGGTGATGAAGACAAAATGGTGAGTGAAGGATGGAAGAAGGCTAAGTTTGGAACAAAACAAAAAAAAAAATTTGAGGGGTTTCAAAATAGCCAACCACATTAGCTATTTTGAAATCCCACATGTGTGGGTTTTTAAAATCTCTAATTATTAGAATCCCGACTCTTTCCAAATGTATTCTTTGGTTAAAATCTCTCATTGTGTGGGATTGTTTTAAAATCCTGCACCACAATCTTGCCACATTTCCCCATCCAAAAACGACCCCTTAGTGTTTGGCATGGGGTTTGTAACGAATAATTTTTTTCAATAGTTTTGTTTTGAGGTTGCTGTATTTTTTTAATCTTGTTATAAAATTTCGAAGTGATCTAGAATTGATCATTATAATATCGAATCTATATTATTTGTGAAAGCATATGAATGATTTCATTTATATGTTAGGAAGTTGCATACAATCAATTCTCAATTGAGGGATAAAGGAAACTGGTGGCTTATGTATCCACAAATGTTCGTCTCTGTCAGTTTTACATAATACGTTGGTCATAAGACAAGCGGATTGATTGTACTCTTGGTCCACAAAACTCGATCTAATTTCTCGAGTCCATTCTTAAGACCTCGATCCTTAGTTTCTCACACACACTACTGATCTCAAGTGTCGGAAGATTATTCTTTGTTTAACTTCTCGATAAGTAACAAGCAGTCATTTTCCAATTCACATGGTAAAAAAACGAAATTGTTTAGCAAAATTGAGACCACATACTTGAAAGTAAATGCATTGACGGATTTCAAAATAGACAGACAACTTCTTTTCTCATAAACAAAGCAGATGATAACTTCATTTACATACATCTCTTAAAGATTTTATCAAGGTTAGTGGGAGACGATACACTTGTTCATCATTTGCAATTTGAAGTGGGTTTTTGAGAGATTTTCATTTGAGTCTGGGTTCAATATGTAATCAACAAGTTAAGGTAAGCAAGCTAGCTACCATTCCTAATCGGTTGGTTTCCTTGCCTTGTAAAAAGGGATAAAGATTCTCTCTTTTCCGAAACTTCATCCCATCCCGTGGGTTCTGTACTAAGACAAAACCCTGATGTGACTGCGGTGGGCCGAAGAGAGAGAGAGAGAGAGAGAGAGAGAGAGAGAGAGAGAGACCGGAATGTGGAGAGGCAGCCGGCGGGCCGAGCTTGAGCATTGAGACTTCCCTTTCTTAATTTCCCCCACCACCTTCACCACCAACAATCCAGCAACACAACAACAAAGACTACTCATTCATTCACCTCCTTTACTTCCTCTCTTCTCTTTCTTCAAATATAAAAAAAAATTTGCATGCAAACCCAACGCACGGCAGCAAAAGGGTGGTTTCCTTTATGCCGGTCTCCCTCTCGTCATGTCCCTTTTTTTCACCCTCTCCCGACCCTTTAATTTTCCTATACATATTTTCTCCTACCTAGGGATAACAATTTCGATCTGACCCGTTTTATCCGATATGTTTTACCTGTTTTGGGACCAGGGGTGGAACCAGGTTTTTGGGTTTGGGGGGCGAAAAATGTTCCGTAGTATATTATCGTAACTAGATAAAAAAACAAAAATAATTATATAACTATATAAACAAATTAAAATGTACAAGATGTTTTGTCAAATAATTAGATTAAGTCAAGATCTAACTATTATGATATCTTCAATATAAATGAGTAAAATATCAAAAACAAATTTTAATATGGAGTTAAGAACTAAATTAACTTTACATCAATGCATCAAGACTATAACTAATAACAGAGTATGTGAAAAAATGAGATAAAATGTTAAAATCTACTGTCAGTGGGTTCTGAACCCCTGACTACAGGGTTGTAGAACACGTAGATCTTCGCTAGGTTAAACACCTTCATTGTTACAATTTTGCACGCGACTTTTATTATACTCTACATTTTAATTACTACGTAATTTCCAGAATACCCGTCATTCATTCGTAATTTTTGAAATTCTGGGGGGGGGGGGGGGGGGGGGGCTCCCAGGCCCTGTGTAGCTCCGCCCCTGTTTGGGACGGGTCCGACCCGCCTTATAGGCAGGGCGGGAATTGGCTACTCTCATCGACACGACTTGCCCTGACTCATCCCATTCTCGACCCGTTCTTGCGTAAATTACATGTGATCTCAGTAAAATTACTTAGGATTTTGCTTTTATTACATCATATTTGAGCTATAACAAAGTTGTAAATTAGTAAAAATCTCAATTTGTCAAATAATTTAACTACATTCATCATAATATGATTTGTTTTCTTGGTTTTATAATGAAATTAACAAATATTTGTAATGTTTTTTTCGGTCGATCTGTCTCAATTACCCAATCCGAACCCGACCTGCCATGAGACGAATATGAGTATCATGATACCCGCACCGAACGATTCCTACCCCACCTTCATCATCCATTTCCGGTTATGCTCGATTCCCACCCTCCCACCTTTCTTTTCCTTCAAGGGAAATAATTAATTAAAAAGAAAGGGGGAAAGAACAACATACAAAATCCCCAGCTGCCTGCCTCTACAGGCCAAGGGGGATGGGTTTCTTGGTTAATTAAACAACTAATTAATTAGCATGGAGTGGGGACACAGGCATGAATAAACAAATGGTATTAACATTCTTTTCTGGTGAATGATGAATTGATGATATGATCAGAGAAATCCTTACTCGTATTTAATAATAATCGTTACTACTTTACACCCGGAATTCAGTGATGCATGAAACAGCAAGGAGAGAAGATGTAGAAGTAGTAGAGGGAATTAATACCCACCTCACCTAGACCTTGACCCTTTCTCTATCTTTGTCTTATTCCATCAATTAATTAATTACAGGAGTAGGGGTTGCTCCTTTATTGAAATTTGTTGGTTCTGGTTTGAACTTTTATTACTTTTCAACTTTTCAATTTCAGAAACATACATGTAATTATCGAATTAAATAGAGCTAATACCACTACAACACCCGAACTATCCCGAAAATGCCATTTGTGTCCTATTGTTTCCAATAGGGTTAATATTTTCGTATGGTCTGAACTTTGACCAAAATAAATATCCTGGCCAATCTTTTCGATCTATAACATCCTGGCCCGAACTATACACCAAAATAAACAATTTGGTCAGATCCGACTTTTGACCGTTAACTTGGATGGTCAAACGCGTTGACCGTTAGTCAACGCGCCATGTCACTGCCAAGTCAGCATAAAATATTTAAAATAAGTCACAATTTCCACACATTCCCTAATTTTAAATTATTATAAATTAAAAAAAATCATCTAATACCTTAGTTAAACCAAAAATAAAAAACGAAAAAATTAAATATTTATCGGATCTTCTGACTTGGCAGTGACGTGGCGCGTTGACCGTTAGTCAACGCGTTTGACCGTCCAAGTTAACGGTCAAACATCGGGTTTGGCCAAATTGTTTATTTTGGTGTATAGTTCGGGCCATGATGTTATAGATCGAAAAGATTGGCCAGGATGTTTATTTTGGTCAAAATTCAGGCCATACGAAAATATTAACCCTTTCCAATATTCCATCTGTGTCCTTAACTATTATTCTGTTAGTGTTGACCGTTAGTATTTAACAGAAAATCCAATCAGCGTTGACATGGCATCTGACGTGGAATTTTCATTATCAATTTTTATTTATTTTTCCATCTAAAATAATTAAAACAAGGAAAACAAAATGAAAAATCCCAAAATCTTTCCCTCTCCCTCTCCCATCTCACAATCGACACAATCGACAGATTTCAATCCCTTAATTCAATCCCCTTCGCTCTCCGAGCTCCAGATCTACGGCTCTGTTGGAAGTCACTGTTTTCATCCACCCACTACTACTTATCCGATCGGCGGCCAGAGAGCTCGAAATCTTCTCCACTGTTCGTCGTTGTCGAAGAGATGGTGGATTCAAATCCGGCGAATAGTAATCTTCTCCACTGTTCTTCTCCGTTGTTCGTCACTGTTCGTCGTTGTCGAAGAACAATGAGAGTGGTATTAGCCCTTTTTACCCCTCCTACCCTTTCCCTTCAATTTTTGCTTTCCTTTTCCCATTGTTCTTCCCCTTGCTTTCATTGTCTCATCTATCCACAATCCACATGCTCTGTATATGTAAAGCTACCTCCAGCTTCAGCCTAAGGTTAGATTCATTTTCTAGCAGAGGATAGGAGATTTACCACTGATGCTAGTAATCGAAGAGTAATCAACCAGCTTCAGGTATGGCTGATTTCATGAATGCGCCCCCGAAATCCGAGGAGCAAGACGATGTACTGAAGCAGCCGCAGCCGCCGCGGCTCTGCGATTACTGCAACCAAGCTACCATCGTGCTGTACTGCAGAGCACATTCGGCCAGGCTATGTCTCGCCTGCGACCGTGAAGTTCATTCCACCAACCAGTTCTTCACCAAACACACTCGATGGCTGCTCTGCGACGCTTGTGACGCCTCCCCTGCCTCCATCTTCTGCGAGACGGAGGGCTCCGTTCTCTTCCAGAACTGCGATTAGGAGACCCACCGTCATTCCTTCTCCTCGCTTCACAGCCGGAGGCTGATCGATGGGTTTAGCGACTGCCCTTCGGTGAATGAATTGATGGGTCTTTTAAGGTTTGAAGATTTAGGGGTTAAGAGTAAAAATGGGTTGATGATGTGGCATGTTTAATTATTTTGCATTTTATTTTGATTTTGAATTAAAAAGTATATGTGGTATGATGTGGCATCTACGTGGATGCCACGTTTTCTTCCATGTCAGCAAAAGTCAACATCTCTTTGACCACCGTCAGGTCAACCGTTAGAGATAACAGTCAACGAAATCGCCAGGATACAAATGGCACAAAGTATCATAGTTCAGGACACAAATGGAATATTGGAAACAATAGGACACAAGTGGCATTTTTGGGATAGTTCGGGTGTTGTAGTTGTATTAGCCCAATTAAATAAGACATAATTCTTTTAATCTTTGAAATACAACATTATAGCCAAAATATCTAAACTGATACAACAATCAAATTAACCAAATTAAAGTTTAATCGGTCTGGTTAATTAGTTAACCACATTAACCAATATAACATCACATTATCATTAAGTGAGAAATTTTTTTGATCTATGCATTAATTCACAATTTATATAATGAATAAAACTTAACCGTCAACATATAGTTAAAATTAACCCTTGAGTTAAATACATGCAACTAATATAATTAACTTACGTCAATAGAAGTATTCACCCTAACAATAATATATTGCCAATGGTATGGAGTTAATGAATTATTGTGTTTGTGTGAATTGACTTACTCTTTTAACATTATCATAGGTTGTAAAAGGCATTCCTTTCAAGTTTTCATCCAACATAGTGTATGAGTTTCATCTAAATTATACGTTCATATGTTGTAGTCTACACACTACAAATACAAATATACATTATATTAACAATATTAAGTTTTATTTTTTATGAGCCTAAAAGGGAGGAATGTTTGTCTCTTGAGTGGTTATGTAACGTATTAAGTATGTTTATAAAATATATACAAGATATATGGATAATTATTTAAATAATTAATTTGATTTCATTCGTTAGGAGTGTCTGAAACCAGACCAACCTATCTACACCAAACAAGCTAAAAAATTTAACCAAACCAAACCAATTATCCAAATTAACCAAACCAAATTATCCAAATACTACCGGTTGAACACCCCAACTTGTCTCTGTCATATTTTAAATAAATATATAAAGATAAATATAGAGCTATCCAATTCTTCTCAAAATTGTGTTGGTATGCAACGATATAACATTTGAATAAGAAATGTATGAATTTTGATGAATTATCGTTTTTCTAGTTATAACTCTGCAAATTTATCTAGTGAACATTATCACAATTCTTTGTAACAATTGAATTTGGTCTAGGGAACAAAGAGAATTTATTGAACAGTAATTCGATGTAATATGTTCCGTCTATGTTAAATTGCAATGACAACTTCATGAGCAGAAATTAATGCATCAGTAGTTGTAATTCTAAACTATGTAAGCAACTTAAACAGACGTCGGTGATCCTGAACGCAAGCATTATGATAAAAGGCGTGTTTTACACAAGCAAAAAACGGTGGTATATCATAGACTCTCCCTACAATTTTTTTTAATCTTTCGGGTCACAGAAGATATACAGAAACTGAACGCTAGCTAACACAAAGTTACCAAATCATATCATATATATATATAAAAAAAAGGCACCAATATATTAATACAATACGAGTTACGCTACAATTCACCAACACAGAGTTACACGTATCCGTATCAGTTCACTCTCATCAAGTCTGACATTATTAATCGCACTGTACCGCATTAATATCAAAACTTAACAAGTATTCATTAACCGGAGAACAAGAACTATTACATAACGACATAACGTTCGCACAATATGAACTGCTTTTCAGGAATGTCTAATTATTTTAAAAAAAAAAAAATCTTTTTTATATAGATTTTAATAAATAGAAGAGAAATGTGAGAAAACAATAATAGGAAAAGTAGGAAGGGAGGGGGTGTGACGTGTGAGGTCCACCGGGAAAGAGAGATGGTGTGAGTGATGGTGGCAACTTTGTCCGCACGTAGGGCAGTAGAATTAGAATTAGCAAAAAAAAAGATAATTACGATTTTTATTTTTTAGAGGGAGAGAGAAAGCGCCATTCACTGTCGTGATGCGGCTGTAGGGGATTGGGTCCACCGACTTGCCCCTGTGGGGCCCATCACCCTCCGCCTTTCCATATCGACCTTTCTTCCTCCTTTTCTTTTCCTTTCCTTCATCTTTCTTCCTAAGCCATACCGTGATCTCTTCTGGGTAACCCCAAAAAAAGAATACAAAAACCAAAAAATAAATAAAAGAGATGAGAGGAAACCGCAAGAGAACAGATGGATTTGGAAGGAGGAATAAAACTGAGTGATGATGATGAAATATATACATATGAGAGATAGAGGAGGAGGTGGTTTTATCTGTGCATGACACCAAACCATACCTTTAAAACTAAAGTCTGTTTTGCTAGCTAGTCCCAATCCCCAAAAACACACGCACACAAAACGTAAAACCCTAAAAATCATTTGCATCTCAATTTAGCCACTCAAGAGAGAGTGGGACTGTGGGAGTGGGAGCTAAAGAGTGATCATTGTAAGAGTAGTAGACAAATAGGCTTCTATCAATGTATGTTTCCCAAGAAACAAAAAAAAAAGGATAATTGATGAGTAGGGTTCACCATAAGGATGATAGAGTAGTTCCGGTCTATCATTGAATCGAAAATTCTTAAAACACATTTTTTCTTCGAGCTGTTCTTATATAGTTAATAATCTTGGTTACGGTTTATAGAAACTAAACAAAAAAACTAAATGAAATCAAGTTAGGTTTTTTTTTTAACACCTTAGGCAAATCCCACATCGACAAAACATAGGAGAGATCCATGGTTCATAAGTAAGAAACCGACCTTAACTGACAAGATGCATTTTAGGATGAAATGAAGGAGTTCTTGTGAAAAATCCGAAGTTAAACGTGTTCAGTGTGGAGTACAACAATGATGGGTGACCTTACGGAAAATCACCCCGAATTGCACCCCGCCAAGTCGAAAATCGTGCGGGGTGTAAAGGCCCAAAGCGGGCAGTATCTTGTCGGGTAAAGGTTCGGGATGTTATATTTTTTATTTGATGTGTTTTCTTTTGCATTTTTGTTCTTAATTGATTCTTAGAATCCTATCAATTTTATTTTCGCAAACTAATAGGGTGCTTCAAGACACTGCACATTTTCATAAATGTTCTGGTTGACGATAATTTATCTTGAAAATGAAAACTTTTGAAATGAAATTAATGCTTCCGCTACTTCTATTTTCATATTATTAACGTAGTATCGAAAATTTTCCCCGTAAATTTTGCAAAGCTACAAAGTTCATTAATCATTTCAAATTCAAAATATAAGAAAGGGACAAAAAAAATTTATAAGAAAGAAGAAGGTAAAAAAGTTTGTTAGGATAAATAAAAGCAAACACTTGCATATAAAACCTTTTACCATTACTTGTTCATAGATAGAGAGAGAGAGTAGCTGGCCAGTACTTCTCATCAATTTCACCATCTTCATTCTCCCTCTCCCTCTCTCTCTCTCTCCATATATATACAAAGAAACAGCCTATGGCTCAGAGCTTTTCCCCTCCTTTGCTGTTTTGCTCTCTCTCTCTCTCTCTCTCTCTCTCTCTCTCTCTCTCTTGCAGTACTGTCTCCAGCAGCAGCTCTCCAACACCCTACCCCTCCTCCATCCTCCTTCCCTATTTCAATCTTATCTCTTTCTTCTCCTTTCTAACTTTCTCCATTTCTAGGGTTGTTAATTAACTCAGAAGCACTCCCACCCCTTATACAAGAAAAAAACCAATTCACAGTCTGTGCACCCTCCTCTTTCCCCTTCTTCTTCTGAATCATCCAGTGAGCCAAAAATTTGCATGTGAGGTTAACTACAACAACAACAACTACTCCTCCTCTCAACAATTCTTCCTTCTGTTTTTTCCTCTTGAGGGAATAATTAACCCAAAAGAAGGAGAAGCACAAGAAGAAGAAGAAGAAGAAGTGAGAGATGGCGACCTCTTCCTCATCGTCGGTTCCATTCTTTGGGATGAGTAGGGAGGAAGTGGATGAGCAGATGAAGCAACAAGCCGCCGCCGCGATTGGAGTTGGAGTTGGACTTGGAGTGGGAGGAGGATTGCATAATCATCATCATCATCCACATCACCACCTCCACCACCAACTCCTCCAGCATTCGTCTTCCCTTTTGAGCAATTCTCAGCTCACCACCGCCGGAGCACAGCAGCAGGCGCCTCCGCTGTCTGCCGCAAGCTCAGCCACCGGTTCTGGTCCTCCTCAGCCCAAGAAGAAGCGAAACCAACCTGGAACTCCAAGCAAGTACCTCCTCCTATTGGCTACTTATTACCTACCTTGTTTTTTGCTTATATGTTCATCAAATTCTTTCTTAAAATTGAGCCCTTTTTTTTCTTTTGAGTACTCATTGAGAGATAAAAGGAGAGAAACCCATCAAGATCTACCCTCAATTACCCTACATCCACAATTCACAACACGGCACCCCTAAAAAAGATCATAATCAAACAAAAAATTCTATTATGTACATGTACATACTTGTGAGGAATCTTCCATTTTCAATTTGCTTCTTTTTCTTCTCGTGAAATGGGCACCATCACGAATTAATGGAACCAACTGGTTTAACATGGTCGAGACAATCTACAAATCTAATGTTCCCATAGTAGGAGTAGTGGGCATGGTGATTATCTGTGGCGTCTGTTTCTGGTGTCGAACACAATTTCGGGTCAATTGTTTTTGTTTCTTTCTTAGCTTTTGGTTGTTTCTAACAGTGGGTTTTCTTTGTTTTTTTTGTTCATCCTTTTTTCCCCCTCCTCCTCCCCATTCTTCCTCCTCTTTGTTCGGTTGTGTGTTTTGGTTTCTGGCGAATTTGATGATGTTGCGTCCATGGGGGCTGACATCTGCATATATATATCTAAAGATCCAGACGCGGAGGTGATCGCGCTGTCGCCCAAGACCCTAATGGCGACCAACCGGTTCATCTGCGAGGTCTGCAACAAAGGGTTCCAGCGCGAGCAGAACCTGCAGCTCCACAGGCGAGGCCACAACCTGCCCTGGAAGCTGAAACAGAAGAGCAAAACCGAAGTACCCAAGCGCAAGGTGTACCTCTGCCCCGAACCCACGTGCGTCCACCACGAGGCCTCGAGGGCGCTGGGGGACCTCACGGGGATCAAGAAGCACTACTCGAGGAAGCACGGCGAGAAGAAGTGGAAGTGCGACAAGTGCGCCAAGAGGTACGCCGTCCAGTCCGACTGGAAGGCGCACTCCAAGACCTGCGGCACCAGGGAGTACCGATGCGACTGTGGCACCCTCTTCTCCAGGTACACACCATTCTTAAACTCGTCTCGATCGATCTTAATACGAAATCCATTATTAAACCTCCTCCCAGTGAGCCGCGCGATTTTGGATTAAGTAATCGGAGGGGACAGGAGGAGTAGTGGTGTAGGTGGGTGTACTGTTGCACCGTGGGTGTGTTTGTTGTGTTCTTTTGTTTTTTGTGTGCTTACTTGTTTTTTTTTTTTATGTGGGAGTCATAAGATTCCTTGGAGGAGAGAATTTTTTTTCTGAGTTATTATTATTATTTTCTTGGTCTTGTTCTTCTTCTGTGGGTAAGAGTTACGTTATGATGTGGTTAAGTGGACAGGTGGGAGTAGAGAGAGTAGAGAGTCAAAGCAAGGGCGAGTGTGTTATTCGAAACGGTTGAAGTAAGAGAGAATGAGGAGTTAAGCGAAACACGTGAAGCAGCCAGCCACCATGGCGAAACTGCCATGCTCGTCACCTTTTTTTTTTTTTTTGTTCAAAGTTTTCAACCCTAATACCCATAAACCCAATAGAGAAAAAAAGAGTCTCGGCCGGCCGCCTCAAACGACGAAAAGTTGTTTGGAAAGTCGTAGGTGGAGTAACAACCATAATAATGCATACGTAATAACATGTCAAACGATGGAAAAAAAAGTTTGGATTCTGGGTTGTCTTGAAATTGAGTGTGGTACTATACTATGGTGAACCCTCGAAAACAGCGCCATGAGTGTCTCTCGAGCTAGCTAGCTGTGTCTCTTTATCTCTATTCACGTGTTGCTACGACATTGCCTGCCAATGAGTGCAAGCAGGCAGGCAGGCAGGCAGGCAAGGTTTAGTTGTTGTTTTGCCATGTTTGTAAGGAAGCGGGTTGGCTGCATGTGTTCAAGCCTGAGATGGTGCAGCTGCTCGTTTTCGTGATAAGCTCCTGCCTGCTCCCTCTCCCCCACCACCTTCATTTCCCCCTTCTTCTTCAGCTTCTGCTCTAGCTCTCACTCTCTCTCTCTCTCCACGATGATGATTGTTGCACAATAGTAAATTGCCAGTTTGGGCAACAGGCTAAAGTCACTCGTCAAAAAGCTTTGCTCTCTATTCTTTAGGCATCATCATCACCATCATCATTTAAATGTTGGGGGGCTCAATGAATTGGGCAGAGAGGTGCATGTTCCTTTCTTTCTTTTTTTTTTTTCTTCAACCCTCGTTTCTTTTTTCAACAAGCTCCATGAAGTCGACTCTTGGAAGCATGAATTTATTATGGGTTTGATTGAATTCCTTTCATCAGGTTGGAAATACATTCTCTCGTTGCATTTATTGAACCCTCACTTCCTCTTTTTGGCATCTCACGTTTCCATCACTCACTAGTTACTTTCCATTTCCCACCTTCCACCAACAACACTTCATTCATTGCTATCTAGTAATCTTCATTAATTTCCCACTCTCTTCTCGTTTCTATTGGTTTTTTTTTTCTTCTTCTTCTTCATATGGGTAATTAAGCATTATCATAATAGTACTACTGATCTCTAGTTACCACCTTTCATGTTTCCTCCTTTTAATAATCTTTGCTAGAACCGGCCTGAATGATGATTTTGTTAGCTCATGTTTGTCGTTTTGGAGTTTGTACAGAATTCTCCCTCAATTTGATTCCAATAATTCTTCTCCCTAAAAATTGCGATTTTTTTTTTGTCTCCGTTTTATTTTATTACTCTCTTAATCATTTTCACCGCATATTCTCTGCAGTCCAGTTAAGTTAATTAATTAATTAATCCCGAGAAATAATAACAATAAAATTTTGGCATGCCCGTGACTGTCCAAACCAATCGCTATTTTGAAAATTTTATTATTATCCAAATTCGTGCTAGACTGAGGAGCAGCTGCATGCTGTGTTTTAACCTATTGTTTGGATTCCATTCCATGGAACGAATGGATCGTATTCTCTTCTCTTCAATCTTTGCTACAGACATATGTATATGAACACTGAAGAAAGAAGGACACCTCACTCACATGTGAACCCTTTTTTTCTTCTTTTCCATCTACTTTTTTTTTTTTTTACCGTTTAAGTCAATCCCTTATTTTCTGGCTATCCCTTGACTTCAACAGTTCAACGCCATATTTTAACTATATACCTAATAATTCTTACTATTTTTTATATTTATTAAATTATTATGGTAATAATTTGTGGAATTCATGCAGGCGGGACAGTTTCATCACCCACAGGGCTTTCTGCGACGCACTAGCTCAGGAGAGCGCCAGAAACCCACCGCCCTCCCTCTCCTCCCTCGGCTCCCACCTCTTCGCCGGCGCCGGCGGAGCAGCCAACAACATGACCCTAGGCATCTCCTCCACCGCTCATTCCTCCGCCGCAGCCGACATCCTCCGCCTCGGCGGATCCACCACTGGCGGAGCCGGACAGTTCGACCACCTCCTCCCTCCTTCGACGACCACGACAACAACCTCGCAGCAGTTCCGAAACCAGCCCCACTTGTCGCCTTCCTCCGCCGCTTTCTTCATGCAACAACAAGATCAGAACAACAGCTACCAGCCATTCCACCATACCCTAATGCAGCAGCAGCAGCAGTTTTCCTCCGATCCTAACAACGCGGCCGGTGGCGGCGCAGCCGCCAACCAACTCTTCAACCTAGGGTTCTTCCCCAACTCCTCCACCGCCGGCATCGACAGCACCACCAGCACCAACAACAACAACAACAACGCTACCCTCTTCACCAATCATAACAACAACAACCACAGCGGCGGCGGCGACGATCATCATCATCATCATCACCAGATGATGATGGGATCATCCACCGGCGGCAGCGTCCCTCTCTTCAGCTCCTCCTCCGTCCACCAGCAGCAAATGAACAACATGGTGGCCCACATGTCGGCCACGGCGCTGCTCCAGAAGGCGGCGCAGATGGGCTCCACCACCAACTCCAACCCCAACGCCACCACCAGCGCCTCACTTCTCAGAAGCGCATTCGCCGCCGGCCCCAACCACAACAACCAAAAATCATCATCGTCGTCATCAGGCGAAAAGCAGCATCACCCCCCACCGCCGAGCCTCGGAAGCTTCGGTGGCTCGTTCTTCGGCGACGTGGACACGAACAACAGCAACAACAACCTCCACGACCTCATGATGAACTCCTTCGCAGCCGCCGCCGGGAACAACAACAACAACAACAACAACTCGCCGTCTATGTTCAACATGGAGGAAGGGAACCACAACCAGAGCAGCGGCAACAACAACAACAACAACAACAATAACGGTGGCAGTAGTAGTAACAACAAGAAGTTGACGAGGGATTTCCTTGGAGTTGGACACGTGGCGGCGGTCAGAGGCATCGCCGGCGGCACCACTACCAGCAATATCTCTCAGAATCAGCAGCAGCAGGTAGGGGCGGCGTTGGAGAGAAGCTCGTCGTTGGATTCGGAGAGGAACAATAACAACAGCATGGGGAGTCACTCTTCTTTCGGGGGAAACCCTAGCTTCCAATGAAAATCATGAAAGTCAACCATGCACTGGAAAGCAGGATATGATGATGACCATGTTGGCGCAAAAGGAATCGAGGTACGTCAAAATTCGAAAAGTATTTTTTTTTAACTGTTTCATATATATGGTTAGAGTACTGTTATTCTTTTCGTTTTTTTACTGAGTGACTGACAAAGATAGAGTTTTTGCATGGTGAGATGGGTCCACGAGTGGGAAAAACACGAGATGGAGTGGAGAGTGGGGGCAATGGGAGATTTTGTGTTCTTTCGCTTGTCTTTTCCCATATCATTTTTTATGATTATGAAGAAAAGGAAATAGAGAGAAGGGTAGGGAAATACAATGAAGAAGGGAATGATGGTAGTAATAATGTAATCGAGGATCGAATAATATGAGGCTGGCAAAGGGGAAGAGAGTCACGAGAGTTGGTCCTTCCTTAGGATTCCCTTTGGGCCTTCAACTTCTTCTTCTTCTTCTTCTTCGAGCATGATAGAATGTCGTATGTGTCTCCCCTTCCCCACCCCCACTTGCCATTTTTTTTGCCTTGTTCGGGGTATTTTCTTTACTTGAAATGATGCATTCACGACTCACGTGTGTGTCTAGCCAACTTAAGTGCTCATTTGTAGAATTGAAATCTAAATAGGTAGATTGTTTCTCTAAACGAGTCCTACATTATTATGATAACAAAAAAAAAAAAAAAAAAAAAAACTTGTTGGGTAGCTAGCACGCCACTATGTATTAGTAGCGTCGTCCATGTGTAAATTTGAAGAGTGTTTTTAGTCATAGTTGCATATACCTAAAGGGAGCTAGACCTAAATAATGGGAATATGGTAAGAAGAACATATATGTATAACTGTAAATTGTAATGCATGGGTGGTAGCAGCAGCAGCAGTCACATGCATGGGCTGGCTGACAGCACAATGGGGGCATTGGGAGCCACCCACATCACTAACAAAATCTATGCTATGTAGCCACCACAGTCCATGCAATTGATTGAGACATGTTCTACCCTTACCCACCTGATTTTCCTACTACTATATAGTTCACTAAATACTAGGGGTGGGAATTCGGTCCCGGTTTTTCGGTCAAACCAAAACCGAGCAGTTAAAACCGTACCGGTTGTGACCGGAAACCGAATTGCCATTTACCCAATCCAATTTTCGGTTGTATTGCACACCAACCTGGTCCAATTCGTTTAAGCCTGGAAAAATTGGATATTAAATTATTAATAAACCCAACACTGTCCAGCCAACCCAAGCCTACTATCAGCCCAACCCAGCCAGCCCACCCTCAAACCCTCACTCCCTAGTTGGCCCGTTACCCACCCCCGCTCCCTATCCAAAATCTAAACAACGAAACCTAGCCTCCCCACCAACCCTCTCGATCTCCACTTCACTGCCCCCTCAATCCCCTCGAACTCTTTAGTCCCTCCATACCTCAACAGACATCCAAACTCACCGCCTCCCTCAAACAATCAATCTCTCTTCGCTTAGACCTTACCGCTGACACCCACCCTCACTGACACGATGACATTCGCCTCTGGTCTTGGCGACGGCTGATCGTCAACGACGGATGATTTTTCTTCTTCTCTCAAGTCAATTTAATCGTCAATTTGAGTGTATCCGGTTGTTTGGTCAAAACCGTATTGCATCCAATCCGGTTTGGTCAAAACCGGGTACCAATCCAATTCCGTCCTCGATCATGGTGTTGTCCAATACGGTTGTAAAAAACCGGGTCAATTAAACCGGACTGTTTAACAGCCCTACTAAATACCATCATTTCCGACCTTCTAACCAAATGAAGTCACTAATTTTTGTGCTCTTGGTAGGTATCTCATCCAAAGGAAGGATGTTTCTGAATTGTCCCCCCCCCCCCCCCCCCCCCCCCCCCCCCCCCCAAGATTTATAAGGATGAGAGAGAAATATCTATTTACATTAAATTATAAATATTTGTATTATTATTTACAATTTAAATATGCAATTGACTAATTCAATTTGGTTTTATCTAATCTTCTCTGTCAAAAAGTTGAACCCAGGCAAGAAATTGTGATATAGTTAGTACATCGTAAGTTTTAATTAATAATTTTCAGGACATTGGTACATTGCAATATATATTTTTGCTATCATCCCATTCATTACTAGATTTAGATCATAACTTCGTCACTAATCATTTTATAACAACGGATCTGTATGTTGCAGGAAATGGGATCAGCAAACAAATGCAAACCAAATTTCATGATAGAATGGAGAAGAAGAGAGAAAAGAAAAAGAAATGGGAGGATCGATCTTAGTATAAAAAAAAAGGGAGAGGTAGCCAGCTAGCTTGAGAATCAAGTACGGGTGCATGGAGGGGAAATTTTAATTAAGATGGATAGATATTAATTAAGTTTTATGCATATTGACATGTTTTTTTTTAATGTAATTAAGTAAACAAAATTATTGCATATGTTGATGAGATGACGATATGTGAATTTGCAGTGGGCAGGTGGAGACAACATGCAGTAGTGAGTTGGTTAGTACTTTGTTTCACCACAACTTCATGATGAGGATGATGAAGAATTTTTCTCCTAGTTTGATTTAGTTCTAAGTCGTACGTACGTCTTAATGAATTAGTTGCTTCTTTAATCTTCTCTACTAATTCTAATTATTTTATAATTTAGATACAATACAATGCTTAATTCCTCCAAACTGTAAACCAGCCATGGATCCAGTATATACTTTGGTTCATGGCTTCCATTCTTCAATTGCCTTTGTTTTGACTACTTTCTATTCCCAAATTTCCTTTCTTTCCCTCAAGAGTAGTAGTCGGATCGGATCATATAGCTATTTTTTGGTTGGTAAAATAGGAGAACCAGTTGATTTCAGTAACTTGAGTTGTTGGGAGAGGTTCAATCGTGAATCATATATCGTTTACTAACACCCTCCTTCAAATTCAAGCCATTCAGATAGCATATAGCTATTTTTTGGTTGGTAAGACTTCGAAGGAGAGAGTTTCTCTTGGTTGCAGGCAGTGTCAAGAACCAGTTGATACCAATAATTCGAGTTGTTGGGAGAGGTTCAATCGCGAATCATATAGAACAGAGACCATGGAACAGACCATAAACTATACGGTCCAAACCAAACCACGCCCGTGCAGTGCGGTCCGATAAGGTCTGGACCGAGTAGACCATGTTCAACAAAATCTGTATCATCCAATATTAAATATTAGCTAGTTACTAAGCAAGAGAATGAAACAACACATAATGGGGTAAGGGCATGAGAATGAAGATATTAATTATTAATAATTTGGGGATTCTGGGTCAATTTATCGAACAAACAAAGGATTGCAGTGTCATTAGTTGCAAGAGAATGAAGTTAATAGTTTATTACCATCGAAGTATCGAACAAACACAGGGGATGGTCGGGATAGGGGGATTCTGGGTTGCAGGGCCCGTTGACAATGGTGGAGTCGATGGCAAGCAAGTGGAGGTCGAGGTCGATGGCGGAGATCGTGCGACGGAGTTGCTGGATGGCGGAAGGCGAGGCGAGGCAATGGTGGAGTTCGATGGCGGAAGTCGTGCGACTGAGCTACTGGATGGCAAAAGGCGAGGCAACGGGGATGGTGGAGTTCGATGGCGTAAGGCGAGGTGACTCTGACAAGGAATAGCTAGGTTTTCCTTCTTGCCACTCCCTTGAAAACTCTCAGCGCGATTGGGAATGTCGGCCGATGGAAGCAGCATCCGGATGGAGCTAGGACTGCGAGTGCTCGCTGCAGAATGAAATTGGGCTTGGAGCTGCCAAGTTGGCTCAGTCCATACTTAATTTTGGTCACGGTCTGGACGGTTAACCACAGCCTAGACTAGACCAAACCATTCTAGACCACAAGCGAAAGAAGCAAATCATGGATCAGACTAAATTGTATTCATGATCTTACGGTCCAGACCAAACCGTATAGTACAATCTAAATCGCGGTTTGTTATTGGATTTGGTCTAGATTTCCAGCCCTATCTCCAAAGTAAAAGTTATTTGTTGGTTGTTGAGTAGATCTCTTTCGTTGATGATCATGAGAATGGGAGAAACTAAGGTTACATGCAAACGAATGCTCAACTAGCTGGCCATGACCTTGTCAATATTGGAGTAAAATTACATTATTAAAAAATTATTTATAATTTTATATACTTGGAGTTTTGGCCAATTCACCATATGCATACCAAATATCCACAAGAAAAGAACAAAAACCAAGATAGTCCATTCATAGTTTGGTAACTTATATACATAAAAATTTTATTAGGTCAAATTCCTTCTTCACATTTGATAATTTCAAAAGATCTTGTCTATGGAAACTATCGATTTCTACTAGAGATATTTTAGTTAGTTGGATTTTGAGTTGCAATCGTAGTTGATCAAGTGGTTTCTAATTATTAAATAGTTGGTTCTCGGTAAATAAATTTTTTTTATGGGCTTGGTGAATAAATTATTATATAGTATTTGACATATAGGTTCTGAATTTTCCCCCATTATGGGGACCGGTTACTATGACAACACCCCTTGTGTTGTTATTGTACCAACACTAGTCTCCAACCAATAGGAAGTTAGGGTTGTGATGACTTTTTATTAGATGAGTTGAGCTAGTGTAAAATCAAAGCAGGGGTATAATTATCATTATAAAAAATTTGTTTAAATAATAAAAAAATAAAAAATATTTTTTTATTTTCTGCCAAAAATTTGGTCGCCGGAATTCTGCCACCGGTCGTCGGAATCTGGTCGACGGTCACCGGAATATCCTTTTTTGTTGCCGGAATATGCTTTTTTGTCATCGGAATATGCTCACCGGCGCCGGAATATGCTTACCGGCATCGGAATCTAGTACCGGGGCCGGAATATGCTTATCGGCGCCGGAATCTGGTCACTGACATTCATCGGAGTTTGGTCAACGAACTTCGTTGACCGGTCAACGGTCAACGACCACCGGATGTATGGTCTGCATTGTGAGATTTATGGTTTGGTTTCTCATATTTTTTTATTCCTTTTGTGGTTTGCTTTATCGTGTTTGTGGTTTACATTGAGAAGTTTCTGGTTTGCTTTCAAATACTTTGTGGTTTGCATTGAGGGGTTTCTAGTTTGTTTTAATATATTTGTGGTATGCATTAGGACGTTTATGGTTTGCTTTTTTGTGGTTTGATTTACTGTGTTAGTGATTTGCATTATGAGGTTTCTGGTGTGCTTTCGCAAATGTTGTGGTTTGCTTTGTGAGGTTTGTGGTTTGTTTTAGGAGATTTGTGGTATGCATTAGAAGGTTTCTGGTTTGCATTAAGAAGTTTCTGGTGTACTTTCGAAACTTTTGTGGTTTGTTTTGCGAGATTTCTGGTTTGTTTTAATATATTTGTGGTCTGCATTATGACGTTTTTGGTTTGCTTTACCGTGTTTGTGGTTTGCATTAGGGGGTTTCTGGTGTGCTTTTCAAAATATTTATGGTTTGCTTTGTGGGGTTTCTCATATGTTTTAGCGAATTTGTGGTTTGCATTAGAAGGTTTCCGATATGTTTTTTGTGGGTTGTTTTATTGCATTAGGAGGTTTACAGTATGTTTTTTCTGCAACAAACACATACATACTCTAATAGTGATGGTGATAATAATGGTAGGAAAGAAGGAAATCACGTAACAATCCTCCCCCGACCCTTTAAAAAACCTTGTCCTCAAGGTTTGAGCTAAGTAACGGTTTAACTGATCAAACCATTCTCAACCCTGATCAATATAGAAGAGAGATTCCCACTCGTTGTCGAGAAAAATAAGCTTTTAACAATTACGCTAACGCTTACGAGACTTCTAATTTCGCTCCAGGACTCGAACGAGTCCAACATCCTGGGCTGCTACGCAAATATGGTTACTCCTTCCTGGCCGTCTTTAGATATAGGAATCTTGTCCCTCTTCACGTTGGTAGGCCATCCATAATGGCGAGACATGAATCAACGAGGGTATTTGGCAATTAATTAGCTCCTGGCAACATCCCATTGGCCACTCATGAAATTGTAATTCCATTGCTTGCCATTATGTCTACTGTAGAGAAACGAGGGAGAAAAAGAAAAGCAATCGAAGCATCTTAGATTCTTAGTCCATGGACAGCCTTCGGAATAATTTTCCCCTGATGAACTCGTCGTAGCTGGTGCCGCCACAGCCGCGAATCTCTAGGAAGGGGGGGCGAATCTCTGGTATCCTCTCCCCCCATTATGTACGTAATCCTTTTTATGGTTATTTTTCATGTAATTTCAATTATCATTAATTTCATGTAGTCAAAGTGCAAATACTCCAAGCATGGCAATAATTGCCATCACTCGCTATGATTATGATATATGAAAAGTAGAAATAACATTGGACAAAGTAAACTCTGGTCGTTGACATGTTAGTTTACCTTTTACAATTTTTCTAGAGAAGAAATCCATGTTAAGATTAGAAGTGACATATGAATTGAATTTATATATTGGTAAATTGGATTGATAGGATTATGGATCAAATAAATTTGTGGATTGATAGATTGGATTATATGGATTGGTGGATTGGATCATGGATCCAAGTGACATATAAATATTGTATCAATATGTCAAATTTAAAAGTTAAGGTACTAAAATGTCAAAATAAAAATTTTAGGTACTAAAATGTACTTTCTATAAAAAATACGTTTTTGTTGGAGCATTGCTATTCATCACCCTAATTAAATCAAATCTACTTTAATGTCCTTTGTTCGTTTATTTGTCTCTCAAATACTTAAAATTCGGGTGAAGATAAGACCTTGCAAAAAGATACTTGGTTAGAGGTTCTGCAAACCCTGAACATCGGTTTTGCGAAGAGGCAGAAGGCAAAAAAGAGATGTGAGAATGAAAATAGGATGCTGCCAAATGCCAATAAATGGGAACTTGTGAAATTTCTTGGTGAGATCAGAGGCAAACGAAATATAGGGTAGGAATTTGAATTTTAGGGCGACGAAT